TTGCTCCGCAGGGTAGTCGCATGCAAACTGCTGAGCCAAAGCATTTGTGCTGCAGAGAATGAACCAGCCACGTCCCTGCCCCGCTGCTCCCCCTGCCCTGTTATCTGGGCACAGACTCCTGCCTCGGTTTCGCTCATGGTGCCTAGCCTGCAAAAAACACATCCAAAAAACATAATGGAAAAACAAAAATCATCCCCAAACCATTTTCATAAAGTTTCCAAAGGGTGTTCTTGGCCCTGGTTGCTTCCTGCAATGTCTTCATTGGCAGAGTTCTCCCAAAAGGGAGCGCAGCAGGGAGCCACCCCTGTTCCTTCCATATTACAAAGGATTTAACCCCATCCCCTACCCCCATGGCCCCTCTTGATGTCCTTGTCCATTTTCTTCATGGGGTGAGTGCTTCTGTGGAAGAGGAGACTACCCCCGATGCCTATGCAATAGTGGTGTGTATTCTAGGTGGAGTGGTGAGCTGTTAACTCTCTGTGTGTCCTGAGGACGTCTTGCCAAAGTCATGCACCTATTTTTCTGGCCAGAGAATTGAAACTCAGCTATTAAGAGAAAGCGAGCTGTGAAATCTGTCTGCAGGCATCTGAAGAAGCCGTAAGAGATTTTCAGAAGTGCCGAACCCTTAGATGTTCCCAAAGATTTTAGAGGAATCTCGAGTGCTTGCCTCTGGCCATAACCCCAGCCCAGAGCTTAGGGCTGTCGCTGTGAGCAGAGGGACCTGTTTGCAAATCCCCACGCTTGCCTCATTTGGGTCAGGTTTTCTGTACTTTCCTAGCCCCCGGGGAGGCGAGTCCTCCTGTGAAGCATTCCCGGTCTTTTCTGTTGAAATTGTTTGACTTTGTGTCATTGGGAAATCATCAGTGGAATGAGCCCCGCAAGAGGCACAGGGAGATGAGAAACCTTGGGGGTTTTATGTGAAAAGGGGCAACTTTGGCTCAGCTTCCTGGTACAGGAGAGGGGTCACAGCCAGAGATGCAGCATTTGTCCCCTATCGAACTGGAGGTGAAGATGCTTAGAGCAGCTCAGGGCTTGGTGCTTGTCCTTTGTGTGGCACCCTATGTCTTGTGCAGCCCGTGCCTGAGCACTGTGGTGCCCAGCTGCTCTGCTATGGAGAATGCAGTGCCTGATGTGGGCACGGTGGTGTCCATTGGGATAGCTCAGCTCTGTGCCGCCTCCTCACCTTCGGGTTTGGCTCTTTGGATATAAGCTTAAGGCACCTGAGCTGGAAGAGAGCAAATAAAGCTCCTGCTTGGTCTTGGGCTGAGGTCAGATGATGAGAAGTCAAGCTGCGGCACTTGCCCTCAAGATGTTTTTGGGTTAGGGGCTATCAGAATTCCTTCCACCCCTCTCTAAAGACGGGACGGGACCCTCAGCAACGTCCCCATTGCCCTTAGCCTGGATGGCTGCAGCCAGCCCTTCATCCGGGAGTGATGACTGCGGGGCTGAGTGGTCCTGGCTCCACCAGACGCCCCACTTGAGAGCTGCCTTTGAGGAGGGTTTTCAGCAGGCACCGGGAGGTGGCAACAGGCCCTTGGTGGGGAGGTGGGGAATGCAGCCTTTGCCCTCTCCAAGGATGAAGATGGCAGCAGGGTCCAGCCAGATTCCAGAGGCATCTGGACAGCCTCTGTCATCGAGGTGGGAGCGCTGCGGGGAGGACATGAGGAGGGTTATCTCCCCTCTGCTTTCTTGGCTGGGAGGGGACAGCTGAGAATCAGGGGAGGCCACGGTGTGGTGGCCGCAGGGCGCGAGCCCCCAGCACGGCCAAGGAGCAGGTGCCGAGAAAGGGTCGGCTGTGGTGGAGCGATGTCTCCGTGCTGTGTGTCATGCTGTAAAAAGAAGGGGAAAGGGAGAAAGAAGTGAGAAAAAAATATAAAAAATAGAAGAAACAACAAAAAAGCAGAGCAAACCTGCTGGCTTCGCCAGACTAGGCGGCACCAGTGGTCATTTCTGGAGGCTGTAGGGGTTGTCGGAGTAAGCTGTAAGGACAGGTGTAAATCTGTCCTCTCCTTCTACCCTGCCAGCATCTTCTCACCTGCAGGGCTCCCGTTTATTGCAGAGAGCAAGGAGAAAAGCCCAGCCGGGGCACGAATATTCGCCCCTTCTGAGCCTTTCCAACCCGATTGGGGTTTTCTCATCCAACCTGAAAGCAGCCCCCCCTCTACCCATCTCCCCCGGCTGTTAGAGCAAAGCGAATAAGGGCTCTCGCAGCTCAGCCCCAAATCCACTTGTTGCAGGCCGATTTTCGGCGGTTGCTCTCAGCACAGGGTGCTGTGGGGCTCCCCGAGATGTGGAGCATCTGGGAAACGACCCCAAAGTGGCCCTTGGGGGGATGCGACCCCTGGGGGTCTGCGGGTCCCCGCTCCTTCTCCCCTTCCTCTGGCCGGTCGCACCGGGGATTTTTTTGTCTTCAAACCCGGAGCGAGGCTTTTCTCTCCCTTTTTAAGAAGCCATCCTCGGCATCGGGCTCGCCATGGTTTTCATTAAGGCGGGGATGGTGTGTTTCCCATCAAGAACGACTTTAATCTTGACTGAGCTCTGAAAGCTAAGGGGTTGCAGTTTTCTTCGGCCACCTTTGATTATTACTTCTCCCGGTTCCCAACTCGATATTATAGATCCTCCCTCCCGGCTGAAGTCCTTAATGGCCCGGTCCATCCCCGCTCCCCCAAGTACCCGTTCTGTGGATGTAGCAAACTCTAATTAATTATAACTTATCTCATGACTTGTCAGCATCACATGTTTGATCCTGTTTAGAAACCATATTCCCAGGGGACGGAAAGGCTCGGGAGTAGGTTGATGCTACTCAACAGTGATTTAATGGACGCATTAATGCCGAGACAGATAACTGTGTAGCCATGTTAAGTAATACATCAAGAATCTTTCCAGAGAGGCAACTTTACAGGTCACTGCAGAACTGCTAACTGATATTAACCCGCTTTGCATTGTGCTGTGCGTACGGGCGCTGGGAGTTCACACACTTCCCATTGTGTCGCCTTGTTGTTTTTTTTTTCCTTTTTCTTTTTTTTTTTTTTTTCTTTTCCCGAGCAGCCTCTTCCCATTCCCCCCCTGGAAGCGCCGGAGATATTAGACGCCTAATGACAATGTTTCACACGCGGGGGTGGGGTGAGGAGGACAACGGGCTTGTTGTTAGCGGGGTTGATTTTAAGCACCCGCAATTACCGGCCCGGAGGAGGCTGCTGCCCGGCCGGGTGTCACCGGGTGGCTCTGTCCCCCCCCGGGGAGCGGGGCTGGGACGGGGCGGGGATGCTCCGGGCAGCTCGGGGATGCTCCCGCTGGGCAGAGCCGCCCGGCCGCTAACGGGGCTTTTTGCCTTTCGGCTCCCCCAAACCCACACGGGCAGGGGGTGTCCCTGCCAAACCCACACGGGCAGGGAGCTGGAGAATTACTCTGGGAATTCTTCTATGCTAACAGCGATTCCCCCCTGTAAGGAATCCCCTCCTGCTCCCGGCCGCCTCGCTCCTTCCCATCTCCTTTTCCCTTCTCCCCCCATCCTGCCTTTAGGGCGGAGGGAAGGGAGGGTGCCTGGGAATTCACCTTGCTGACAGCTCAGGGGAAAATCCCTCCCTGCAGCGAGGAGGACAGCTCGCCAGGCCCCCCCCCCCCCCCCCCCCAGCCCAGAGGGTCCCGCTGCCAGCGGGGCTGCGGGCACGGGGCGACCGAGGAGCAGCAGCCGGGCTGTGGGGCCGGGGCCGCCCTACAGCCGCTTTGGGGAAGGGGAGAGCCTAGGGAGGGAGCGTGGAGCCCAGCCCTTGATGGAGAAGGAGGGTCCGGGGGGGATCCTGCCCTCCCAACGCGCAGTTTTGGGTTGGAGGATGAAGGGAAAGGTGCTAGCGCTTCGCCCAGGTTGCAGGGGGCTGGTTGTGTGCCACCGCTGATTAAACGCTCTCCCCGAAAGATGCTGTCCGACATGAGATAATGAGGCTCCGTGACCGGCCCCAGGTTCCCTTTAAGTTTTCCCAGGGACCCGAACTGTCGCCAGTTCACAAAACGACAGTGTAAGGCAGCACCACGCTACTCACATCCAATTTACGGCGCACAAAAGCTGATCCCCAAATCCCCACTAACAAACCGGGACCCGCAGACAATTCCGATAATGTTTAGTTTTTATTCATTTCTCGACTAATTAACTGGAATCCCACCTCCCTCCCGCGCCCGACTCCCCCCCTTCTTGACAGTGCCCAATTAATCCGCAATGTATGTCAAAGGTCTGGGACCCACTGTAAACTGCTGAACCTTTGCAAAGATTTGCGTGGCCCTATATTGATCTGATTAGGACCGGGGTGCTTTTTCCTCGTTGGTGCTGCGCGCAGAAGAAAAGCGTGGCTTTTCTTTTCCCTCCCTTTTTTTTTTTTTAAAAAAAAAAAAAAAAAGCTTTGCCTTCCCGCTCTCTAATAGGATTTCTTCAAGTCGCCTTCAAGCCTCCCTCGGCGTTCGGAAAAAAAAAAAAAAAAAAAAAAAAAAAAGCCTCGCTTTGTAAAATTTTTTTTTTTTTTTTATTAGGGGCTGCGAAGGGAACCGAGCGAAATGAAGCGATCTGCGAGGCAGGCGGGGAGGGCGCCTCGAAGGGGATTTGGGAGCAAATCTGGATTCGCTGGGAAATGTCCCGTGCCGAAAAAATAAACAGGGCAGGAGGAAAAGGGGGGGACTCAGCTTTTTGGGAGCCGCCGGGCCGGGGAGGGCGAGGAGCGATCGCTGCCGGCCGGGGCTGGCTCCGGCTCCGCACCGCCGGCGCTGGGGCCGGGCAGCTCGTTTCTAATCTTCGGAGGGAGCGAATATAAAAGAGGAATTTATTAGCTTTCAGGCCATCAGAGGAATAAACATTGATTTTATTGACCTAATTATGGGCCAAATGACTCCTTCCATCGATCACGTAAAATACTTCATTTGGAGAAAAACAGGCGCGGGCGCCCGGAGGCGGGGAGAGCGGGTGGATGTGCTGCAAAAGAGGGGGGAAAAAAAAAAGCAAAAAAAGCAAAAGCTCGAAAATGTATGGCGAGGTTTTAATGCAGTTAACGTGCCCGTCGCGCTGGAGCGCAAGCCCTGTCTCCCAGACGTTACAGTGCGGATGTTTTGCAAACTAAAGCTTTTATGTCGAATTCCAATCCGGCCAGTCAATTTGGCTAAAATAGCATTAAACAAATGGACAGCGGTTTATTTATATTCCCCCCACTGTATTTTATAGACAGACAAGAGTTACTTGAAATGTATTTTACAAGCACAAGACAACACGTCGTTTCAGACCGAAAGCAGCGATTTTTTTTTCTCGTAATTAGAGTAGACTCAACACTAATAAAGAAGCAAACAGGCTCTCTTCTCTGCTCGAGCCCGGCTACTGTCCTTAGCGCTTGTCTGCGGGGGAGTTGCGGATTTCTGGCCGGGGGGGATTGCACCTGAGGGCACCTGTCTGGGGCAAAGGGGGGGGGCGGGTGCTGCTTTTCTGCTCCTGCCGGGCCGGGCAGCGATTTGTTCCTTTTCTCCTTGCTGGCAGCTTGGATTTGGGATTTTTGGGCTTGGGAATTAGAGGGTGCTACTGCCTGCCTGGAAGGGGGGGCGATGCGGGACGAGACAAGCTTTTGGCAGGGTGTTTGCTCCCTTCTTCTGTCCCCTGAAATATCAGAGCTCGCACACCTACAGCGCACGGGGTGACGATGGGTGCTTTTAGCGTAGCAGCTTCGCAAGGCTCCGTCTTTCCACTCTCTACCCTCTGCTCCGCGGTTCCCTGCTTTCACCGCGTTATTCCTCGGCGAGCTTCGAAGTTTAGGGCTGCCTCCTCCCTCTCCGTGGGAAAAAATAAAATAAAATAAAAATTAAAATTCTCCCCCCACCGGTGCCTGTTTTGCCTCCCGGGTCAGGCGGAGGTGCTGCTGCCCGGCGGGACGCGCTCTGCCTCCATCCCCCGGCTCCTGCCCCGGGGGTGCCGGGGACTTTGTGCCCCCATCCCCGGCCGATCCCGCAGGTGAGCTCCGCTCCCGCAGGTGGCTGCGGGCGGCGGCGGCGCCATCCGGTGGCCGCAGCCCCGAGCAGCGCCCCCCGGGCCCGGCGGGGGCACCGGCGGCGAGAGACCCCCGGCCGAGGAGCTGGGGCTTTATGCGGACCATCTGCGAGCGGAGGCAAACTAAATGACAACTCTTTTACACCGCTTCCTACTTAGCTTTTCTTTTCATGTGGCTGCGCTGGAGTTTCCGACGCTTTGTACCGCTCCGAACTTAGTGGGATGTTTGTGCGTGTAATGCTCTGCCTGCTGCAGCTCTTGGGACGGGCTTTTCTCGTGTTTTCTTTCCCTTTTTCCCCCCTCTTCCTCGTCCCAGCTGGCGCACACAGCCTCCCGCTCCGCTCTGCTCGGGGACGGGCCGGCAGGATCCGTCCTGGCGTTTGCAGGAGCAAACGGCTCCGCAAGCGGCCGGCAAAAATCGCACCTTGGCTTAGCAGGAGATGAGCTCCCTGCACCGGGTACCCACTTGGTGGCTCTTAATCCCTCCCCCCCCCCTGCCCCGCCTGCCATCCCGTCGCTTTCCTGTCTCCACCGAGCAGAGTTTTCTCCTGACCCGGGATCCGGACGATCGTCCTTAATGGTATTACTAAAAAATAACGTGGTTTAAGCACACACTGAAGGCTTGCTCCGTTATTTAACCCGTAACCCCAGCAGCGAGGGTGCCCCGTGCGCACAGCGCGCCCACCCTCACCAACGAGGCGAGGGGTGCTTGGAGGGGCTTCCCCCGGCCCCCGAGGTGATTTGGGAGCCGGTGAACCGGGCAGCCTGTCCCCGGCTGCATGTACAATCCCAGATCCCCCCGAATTTGGTACCAAAGCTGTCAGAAAGCACCGCTTCCAGCCGGGAGCGCGTTACCTAGGAGCTCGGAAGCGATGCCCGCTCTCCCCGGGGGGTTTTCTCCTTGCCCCGTGTCACCGTAATAATTTTCCTCCGGCGCTTCCCGAGCCCGCAGCATTTGAGTTTTCCTCTAAGTCCATGCCATTAAAGCAGCGGCTGCAGCAACAGGTGAGCGGAGGAGGGGGGCGCTTCGGGGGTAGGGGGCTGCCGGCGGCACCCGGGGGGGTGCTGCAGGCACCGAGGCGCCCAGGCGCGCATCGACCGCGGCAGCTCCGCGGCGCCGGGGCAGGGGCGAGCGGGACCCCGGCCGGCGGCTCCAGGGGGCGAGCAAAAAGCCCCTTCCCTTCTCCTCCCAGCGAGGGCAAGGAGCCGCTCCGGGAAGCGGAGCGAGAGCTGCCCAAATATTGTTTACACCTGCGCCGCGGAGCCTGGCTGCGCCCTGCTCCTCTCGGCTTTAATTGGAAATCTTTTCCGTATGCCCCAACTCCCGGCTCATCTGGGTTTAATAAATGTACACAACACCCCTGCTGCTCCGGAGGAGCACTCTGCCCGCGTTTCTGAAGCTCAGCAGAGGAGTAATGAGGGCAGGAGCAAGAGTGGCCTGCGCCTTGGTTTGGGTCCAAAGGGAAGTGGGGGTGATGGGGAGAGAGAAACCCGGCCGTGGAGCGGGGCCCTAAAATGATCTCGTGTGTACACACACACACGCGTGTAAAAAAGCCAGGAGCAAGTGCAAGATCGAAAGCAGAGCCTGTCTTTTTCTGCAGGCACGTGTGCCATTAAAAGCAAATAATTCAAAGTAGTTTCAAACTATAAAAGCACGGGATCCTTCCCCCTCTCTTACTCTTTTTTCCCGCCCCCCCCTTTTTTTTTTTTTTTTTTTTTGGTGGGGGGGTTCAGATCTCATCTCCCCTTCTCGGCTGGCCCCGAAGGACCGGTTTTTTCACTTTTCCCATGTGTGCGCATTTGCGCTTTCCGGAAATCAAGCTAAAGTTTGTTCAAAAATACTAAACTAAACTAAAACGGCGCTGCTGCAAAACCTCCCACGCCCTAGAGCCGGAGAAGAGCCCTTTTGCAAAAAAAAAAAAAAAATGTTCCCAGCTTCTGCTGCTCCCCACGGAAACTATCCCGGGGGGAAAGTTGCTGGGCCATGCATCCTATGGGGATGGGGAGAAATGCGCTTAGCCCCACCGGTGCCTCGACGTGCCGGAGGAAAAAGGGTTGGCAGCAGGGCTGCCCGGAGCCCCAAGGACAGCGAAATGTTGGGGGGTGCTGGTAGGATCACTCGCCCCCCCAGCCCCACCGGACGGCTCAGCCCCCGGGGTCTCGTCCCCTTTCGGCAGGCAGAGTTGGAAAGCGGAGGGGAAGGAGGAGAGGGCTCTCCCCGTCCAGCATCTCCTTTTGGGGTGCTCCCCCCTCCCGCCCGTCGGGTGTCGCCTTTAGGCTGGCCGCGGTGGCCACATTTTACAGAGAATTTTCTCCCCCACCGAGGAGTTTCCTGGGGCCGAGAGGGCATTTTGCGCTGCTTTTTGCAGCCCCTCTTCGACCGCGGGGTGGGTGAAGCTTTTTCCCTCGCCCTGCGCTGGGGCTGCGGGCAGATGCCGGGCGTCAAACATTGCAGGGGAGGAAAAATCCGTTCCCAGGCACCCCAAAAACCTCCTAACTGGGGCATGAAAAAGCGAAGCTCTTCCCTTCTCCCCCAGCAATCAGCAGCTTCTTTTGATTTTTATTTAATTATTAGCATTTCATTCTCTACTCTGGGAACACTTGGAACTCTAACACGAGAGGGAGAAAAAGCGAAATGAAATCTCTGGGCACAAGGTCACCCCGAGGGTCCCCTGCTCTGGGTCTGTCCCGCAGCCGACGAGCTGGGACCCTCGTGGGGAGGTTAAGGGGGGGTCTCTTCCATCCGGCCGCCTGCACCTGAGCCGTGCCCAGCTTCCCGGGTCCGCCGCCGGAGCGCCTCCGCTGCATGAGTGCGGCGCGATCATCTGCCTTTGGGGGCTCTGAAGCCCTGTGGCCGCTTGCTGCGGGGGTAGCAGCGAGCTGGAGAGCTCGTCTTGCATGGCTGGGGGCGTTTCAGGGGAAACGGGGGGTGAGCTCTTGCAGGAAAGCAGAGGGAGCGCTGGTCGGGGAGCCCCGACGGCTGCAGCTCCGGGATGCCGCATCCACGCAGCGCGGGGGCTGCCGCGAGGGAATTGGGGACAGAAAAAGAAAAACGGAAAGCAACGGGGGTAGGAAGGTGGGGGGGGGTCGATAATAGGGGAAAACGGGAGAAGGCAAACGAGGAGCAGAGAGAAGGGGGGAGGCAGCGGGACCCCCGCCGGGAGCCGGGCCAGGCCGGGCGGGTTGGCTTGGGGACGGCAGGAGCCGGGCTTTGGGGGCAAATGTGGCGCTCAGATGGGACCTGGCCGGTGCCTCCTCGTCCCTTTCATTTATCTCCTGCCCGGGGGGGCCGTGCGGGGGTTATATCTCTCCCTAATTGAAACCTAGTAAGGCAAATAGTAATGGATACCAGGCTCCGATTGAGAATACGTGTCCGCGGCTCCATGATGAGTGTTAGTTCAGCAGACTTTAAGAAGCCAATTCTTCTTCCCTGTCATTTCTCTATTGACAGTAGCCCCGATTAGATTTACCATGTCCTTTTGCAACAGCTGGGTCCCCCCCCCCCCTCCCTTTTCTCCCCCGGGCCGAGGTATCAATCGATCGCCGGGTGACTTCGTGGCATCTTGAGGAAAATGGGAGCAAAGTGTGTCAGCGCCGGGGCCAGAGGCTCCCGGCTCTCCCCCCCCGGGCTCTGCCACAGCCCGGCGCCTGCCGGGGGCCCGGGGGTGCCGCCTGCCCGCCCCCAGGCTGGGGGACTCAGGGCAGACCCCTAGGGAGGGGGGGAAAAAGGCTGCTGGGCTGGGCTGGGCTGGGCTGCTGAGGAACACGGCTGATGGTCAAAGCAGATAAAATGGGTTTCTTTCGCCCGGTGCCTCGTTCTGCTGGAGGCGGGGGGAGGGAGGGTGTGGGGGGGCAACGCCGCATCTGGAGGGCTCCTGCGGGCCGGCTGGTCCCTCCTCTGTCTTGTTGTTGTGGTGTGTGTGTGTTTAAATAATTGAATAAACGTAGCCACTCGTTCCCGCTCGCTCTCTCGCACGCAGACACACACACGCACAAAGACAGCATTGAAAAGATAGATCTGTTTGACTATAGGAAACGACAATTAGCTCCACTTCCTGAGCGGCAAACTGTATGTATACGCCTGGCTATTAAAAAAAAAAAAAAAATCTTACCCAAATAGTGAACTCTATTTACAATTTCAGCCTAGCCAGCGGTGGTGGAAGCAGAAGGATCAGGGTGGGGAGCACGGGGGGAGCGGGGCTTTCGTTGCGCCTCTGCTGGAAATCCACTGGTGAGAGGAGTGAGGCAGGGGGGGAAAGGGCTGCCTGGTGGCAGTGATGCTTCAAGGAGAGGATGAAGCCAGTGGGGCCAGAGTGGCTCCAAAAGGCCAAAGGGAACATGGTGCTCCTGTGCCCCGGCCCCAAAGAGCCTGGCTGGGGCGCAGGGAGCTGCAGGGTGGCACCTGGGGGGCTCACCTGGGGGCTTGCTTGTTCCAGCTCCAGTCCATGGCCAAGCAGCTGGGACTGGAGAGAGTCAGAGTGGGATGGGGGAATAGGGGAAAAGGGAGCTCGGCACAGGGCTGGAGCTTTGAGCAGTTGTGGGACCTGCAGGAGCCAGGCCCCGGAGGCTCAGCAGCCCCACCAGCAGCTTTTCCCGTAGAGACACATCCCAGGGAAGACTGATGAGAAACCTTCACCTCACACAGCTTTCACTTTTTTTTTTTTTTCTTTTCATTTCCCGGTGTCCCAATGAGGTGTGTGTAAAGCCTGTAAAGCCATCCACCAGCTCCCCCCAGCCCTGCAAACCCCAGGGGCCTGATCCCCCCCCTCCCTGCCTCTATTTCAGTGCCCAGACGCGGGCACAGCCCGGGTGATTGTGGTGGGACATGGTGGGGCCGAGCCTGGTCAGAGGGAGACGTGTTGCTGTTATTTTTTTTTTCCTACTTACTATTTCTAATCCCTCACCATGCTGTTTTGGACCTGGGCAGGTTACTTTGCAAAGTTTTTCAGGCCGTGCTTTCCGCAAAATTCAGCCAGCAGTTGGAGGAAGAGCTGTGGCGCAGGGAAGGCCGAGAGCTGTTGCAGTGCCCCCCCTCCCCGTTCCCCCGCAGCAGTTTATGTAGTCCAAGTATATAGACTCGCTCCCTCAGGGACCCACTTCATTATGCCTGCGGCCTGCAGTGCCACTCCGGGATGGAGCTGTGTCAACACCGGCCCCCATTTTCCAACACCTTTTGCTGGGATGGGGAAGGGCCTACGAAAGCGGGGGGGGGGGGAGAGTTTCCCTCGGAATAAGCGTGTAATCACCGCTCGCCAGCCGCCCCCCGCGCTCGAGAGTGTATTTACTGCAAACCTGCCAAAGTAAACGAGCCCCAGTGCGTTTTATTTCGGATAAACACAGCTCAGCCACGGCGGCGTGTCGCCTTCCCAGGGCTGGAGACGGAGCAGAGGCTGCGGCACGGGGGGGGGGGGAAAGGGAGGGAGGAGGTGGGTGAATCCTGCAGGGTGCGGGGCAGCGAGGAGGCAGGGTGCTTGGGACATGCAGTGGGATAAAAAGAGGCTGAGATTAGGGTGTGAGCCCCCCCTGAAGTGGTGTCAGGGCAGCGTTGGCCTTGCTCACCGTGCAGCAGGGCCTGTTGCCGTCCAGTGTCAGCACAGGGGCTGTGCAGGGTTAGGGTTAGGTTTTGGTGCTGGAGCAGGGTTTTGTGGTGTACCCCAGCTCCCAAATTCCCCCATTGCCCCCCCTGGTCTCACCCACCCCCACAGCCTCCCCGTGCACACGCACACGGGCCTCGCAGCACGCACACCAGCCCTCCACGCACGCACGCACGCCTCGGAGCTGTTCCCGCAGGCTTGGGAGAGGACGTGTGGGCTCGGAAGCCTTTCTTTTCCTCTTGCCTTCTTCCTCCAGCTGGCTCTTCAGGCCACCGGGAGAGAGCGAGAGCCTCTCTCCTCCCACACCTCGAGCACACACGCGCGGGGCAGGCTCGCTGCACGCCCCGCTCTCTCGTGCAAACGCTCAAAGTTGCTTAGGAGGGCGAAATCTGAGCGAGCGGGGCTCTCCCAGCCGCTCGGCAGCCAGACCCAGGGCCCGGCCAGCTCTGCTTTCCCTCCGGCCTGGGTTGAACCGGGGAAAAAAAAGCAGCGAGGAGCCGGCGAAGGAGGCAGCCGGGAGCGGAGGCTGGCGGGGGCCTCCCCCCCGGGCCGGCCTTTGGCTCTTTGCGCTCCGAGATTAGAGAGCCAAAGGCCTGGCCGCTCTCCGGGGAGACAGCGGGGACCTTTCATGCCTCTTTGAAGAGCCAAGATAGTGTCGGCCTTGGTGCAGCCCGGCCGGGAGACGCGGGGGAGCCGGCTATCTCCGCGTGCTATCACCCGGCCTCCCCCCGCCACCAGCCCCATTCCCACCTCCACCGGGCTCCCGGCCCTTCGCCATCGGCCGCTCTGATCTCTTCTTTTTTCTTTCTTTTTTTTTTTTTTTTTCTTACCCTCTTTCCTCCCCTTTGCTATTCATTTCTGCGGGCCTCCTTATTTATTTATTTCTGCGCCTCGCTTATTTATTTATTTCTGGCGAAGAGGCGGCTAACAAGTAGCTGGAAGCACTGGCCAATATTTAACTAAGATGGCTGGCCATCAGGTCCCTTTTGTTTGCTTGCAAATTAATCATCCAGCGCACAGTCGGCGCCAGGGTAGATTTATCACACACAGGAGGGGGAATGAGGCGGCCGAAGGGAGACAAAGACTGTTCGCACCTTCCCGCTTTTGATCTTAGATTAGTGCAGCCTCCCTTCATAATACGAGTCTCCAGGGGGCTTCGTCGGGGAGGTCACTCGGAACTGGCGGAAGTTTGCACGCCATTAGCCAGACGCTGAAATTGGGAATCATAAGCGGCAAACGTTTTTATTTTATTTTATTTTTTTTTCTTCCGAGGCCGACGCGCGGGTGGGTGCGGAGCAAGCGGCGCAAGGTGCGGGCGCGGAGGGCAGCGACGGCTCCGGCCTCCGCCGCGGCCCCGGGGGTGCGCACCGGGCCGGCGGCCGCGGGGCTCGGGGCTCGGCGGCGCTGGCAGCGGCTGCGCTTCTCCTGCCAGAGCCGGGGAGACCCTCCTGCTCCCCGCCACGGCCCGAAGGCCCGGCTGGGGAGAAGCGCGGCGATGTTCTCCGAGCCGCCCGGCCTTCGCTGTGGGCTCCGTTACGGGGAAGGTGTCGGGGTTGCGGCTGGAGGCAGGAGCCGGAGTCTCGGTTGGGAGCAAGGGGGGCTGGAGGGGCTCGGTCCCTTCGGTGAGAGTTCGCCGAGCGCTGTGCGGGCAGCCAGGCTCCCGGTTTCTTGAAACACATCAGTCCCACCCCCCCCGCCCTTGTCTTTTTTTTTTTTTTCCTTTTTTTTTTTTTTTTTCTTCCCGTTTTCTTTGAATGCATTACTCCCGCTTCCTTTCCTCCCTCCTCCTCTTTTCTCCATCCACCCCCACCCCCGACCAAAGGGGAGATATTTTGGTGAATGCAAAGCGATCCTAGACGCTGGTTACTACAGGGACTTCACCAAGCTGGCGCCAAGCGCTCTTAGCCATGTGCGTCAAAAATGCAATGCTAGAAGAGCTAATCACTTTAGAGGTTCCGCTCCCATCTGCGCGCCGTCAGCGCCGAGCCCCCGCGGCCCCGCTCCGCCGCTCCCCTCCCAGAGGATTCTCTGCCCCTCGTTAAAGCAAGGAGGGGGGAGCCACCAGGGCCCCCCCAACCCCGGTTGGGGCGGGGGTGATTCGGTGCCGGGACATCCCGTCCGATCCACGCGTGCCCTGCGCGCCCCCTGCGCCACGGACCCCCCCCCCACCCCGACGCGCACACCCACGCCGCGAGCGCGCACCCACGGACACGCAGCAGCTTTCGGGTGGGGTGTGGAGAGGAAGGGGGGGGGCACAATCTGACACTCACAACCCCCATCTCTCTGCCCTGCGCTGTCACCCCCCCCGGGAACATGTCTCCAAAAAATTAAAAAAAAACTTCCCAGGCGCATCCTGGCCTGGAGCTTCCCTCTCCGTGGGGCCGAGCCGGGCGGGGACCCACGCGTGATGGTTTTCCCGCAGGGAAGCGGCTCCCAACGGGCCGGGGCCAGGAGGGGGCCGGGGCCGGGCCCCCCCCGTCGGGCCGGGCGCAGGGAAAGCCGCACTTCCCGTCTCCTCCCCGCACACCTCATGGAAGAGGAGGGGTGTGGGAGCGTAACCCTCTCGGCGCCGGTGGCAGCCGAGCCGCCGCACTCCTCCCCACCGCCAAGAAAAGGGAAAAAATAATTAAAAAAATAAAATAATAATAAATAATTAAAAAAAAAAATCATGGTTTTCTTTTTACCCTTCCCCCCCCCCCCCACCTCCCCGGAGCCTTTACCGGCAGCGGAGCCGGGGCTGAGCGGAGCCGGGCGGCCCCTGCCTGGCTGCAGCCGCCCACGACAACAACAGCGGGCTTTGGGGAGAGCAAAGTGCCCGAGCCCAGCCCCGGGGGGTGCTTCCCGTATCAAAAAAAAGCAACTTTTTTCCAATTATTTATTTTAGGGGGGGCACCGCTGAGCGGCGGCGGGGTGGCACGGGGGGTTGCGGACACGTTCCCTTCAATCCAACCCCCAAAAATCCTCTCTCCACGGGTGCTGGCAGAGCTGCGGTGGGGGCACCCGGGGCCGGACCCCCACCCCCTTTTCCCCAATGTGCCCCCCACCCCTCCTCTCCCCTTTCCTCCCGCTCTCCGCAGCGGTGGAAGCTCCTACCGGGGGGGGCCGCCGAGCGGCGGTGCCCAGCTCGCCGGGGCCGGCCGAGGGGGGGGGGTGGGGGGGGGGCGAGGCGGCCCCGAGCACCCCCCCTAGAGGCGGCTCCCGGCTCGCCTGCTCCCCTCCCCTCCGTGCTCATGTTGACATATTCACACGGCACGGAGTACTAGTGATGCTTTGCTGCAGCGTTACAGTTTCCGACACCTTCTTTTTATAACTCGGCTCTGTCCCCCTTCCACTCGACCTGTCAAAACCACGCCTATGGAGCCACACAATTGGTCCGAAAGCGTCAAAGAGCCAATCAAGGAGGCTCCAGCTCCCTTGTAACCCACAACACATCCATACAATCTGGTGCACGCAGAGCACAGACTCACAGGGAATTCTCAGAGCTGAGAGGCTCCTTCTCTCTCTCTCCCTCTCTCTCTCTCTCTCCCCCCCTTTCTCTTTCTCTCTTTCTCCCCCCCCTTCCCCCTTTCTCCTCCTTTCTCTCTCTTTCCCTCTCTCTTTCTCCCTCTCTCTTTTTGCTGGAGCGGAGACAAGAGTATAATTCTTCCCGATTTCCTTTTTTTTTTTTTTTTTTTTTTAAAGAGAAAGGGAAAAAAAAAAAAAAGGAGGAGGAGGGTGAAAGAAAGAAGAGATCCTGATGGAAATCAGGGCACTCTGACCAGCTCCTGCTCGGAGAGGGGGGAAGGCGAGGCGGAAACGAGATTTTCCTCCAAGTTTTTGCTGCTGCCGCTGCCTGAAGGTTGCCGAGGAGCCGTCCTCGGTCGCCGAGGGGGGGTGGGTTTGTTTGCTTCTTTCTGCTCTCCCTCCCTTGCCAGCCTCTGCTCTGCAGCCTGACCGTACGGAGGAAAGGTGGAGGGGTGGGGGGGAGGGGGGGGGCACAGCCAGCCACCCAAAAAGAAAAGCCAGCTTGGAGCCGTCACCCTCCGCAACGAAAGAAGAGAGGGGGGACTGAGAGCACGAGAAAAAAGAAGAAGAAGAAAAAAAAGGATCTCGGCTTGTCCAGCCCTTCTGCGGCAACAGGAGCAGCCTGCGAGCCCGGTGGATTTTTTTTTTTTTCCCTTCTTCGGCGTTTCTTTTCGAGCGCAAGGACTTCCACTCAGGAAAAAAACAAAACAAAAAACAAACCAAAACAAAACAAAAAAACTGGCAGAGACAGAACAAAAAAAGAGCACGACTAATAATGAACAATCCTGTTAATCCGCTGTCCCGAGGGCTGGGGATGTGCCCCGGCTCGGGAAGTTGTAGGCTGTAGAAGTTCTGCCTCTCCCCCATGTACTGTGCTGTCTAGAGCTTGTTTCCCCCACCCTATTTTTTTTTTATTTTTATTTTTTTGGTGCTTTATCGCTGTTATTGTTATTATCTTAATTTTTCTTCTTCATGATGTGCTGTTAGAACCCACTCCAGGACTACTCCAGCAGTAGGAAGACCGAGGAGTGGAGTGGATGAATATACCGATGAGAGATCCAGTAATCCCTGGGACAAGCATGGCTTATCATCCTTTTTTACCTCACCGGGCACCGGACTTTGCCATGAGCGCTGTGCTGGGACATCAGCCCCCCTTCTTCCCCGCTCTGGCTTTGCCTCCCAACGGGGCGGCCGCCCTCTCCCTGCCGGGGGCTCTGGCTAAACCCATCATGGATCAGTTAGTGGGGGCCGCAGAGACTGGGATCCCCTTTTCTTCCCTGGGCCACCAGGCAGCAGCCCATCTGAGGCCTTTAAAAACTCTGGAGCCAGAAGAAGAGGTGGAAGACGACCCCAAAGTGCATCTGGAGGCCAAAGAGCTTTGGGAACAATTCCATAAAAGAGGCACGGAGATGGTGATCACCAAATCGGGAAGGTAGGTCCGAGTCGGGGGGCTCGTGCTGTTTTTCTTTCCCTCTCCCCCACCCCTCGGTCTCTGCACCCCGGCAGCCTGCTCAAGAGCAAGGCTCTTTCTCCGGCGCTGCTTCGGTGGAGCTCGGTTCCTCTGAAATTAGGAAAAGTTGTAGGCAGCTGAGGTGCTCAGCCTGTCTCCGGGCACCACGCTGCAGGGAAAGGCTGAGCTGCTGAACCACACGACCCGTCCCCTCGGTCAGTGGGTGCGTGTGCAGGGGGCGAGGGGGGCTCTTCATGGTTCAGCAGCTTAATACTTTCTGGTAGCAGGAGGAAAATAATTTGGGGCTGGAAAAGGCGCCGGCCTGATTGCAGCCTAACTGCTTGGAGTTTTTCTTCCTGAAGACAGAGAGAGGGGAAATATAGCAAAAATTATAGATATATATTTGCAGTGGCGTATCTCTGCGGGTGAGGTGGTAGCTGCAGGAGGGCTGAGATATTCAGTTTATCAGTTGCTTCGCTTGTGCCTCTGTCTCTGCAGCGATACAGGCATGCATTTGTGCTGACTAATTACATGTGGAAATGCACAAAAAGCTGACAAAAACAGCCGGCGCTCCCGCACGGGCTGCAGAGGGGCTGCTTCAGCTGCAGGGAAAGGTTTTGCAGCTCCTGCAGGAGCGTGCTGTGTGTCTCTGTATTTATATAACCTTCATGTGTGAATGAATGAACATACACGGCGCGTACACGCTCTGCATTTCTGCATTTTATAGGTTTACACGTCTGAAACCCCTCTCTATATTCGCTACTAATTGACATCTGTGCTCTTTTACAACTCTACCTATTGATGTGATGACACGTAGCGAGCAAACCCTTCGCACTCGGCTGTTTTTCTAACACGCACCCCTAGAAAGGTAGCAAACAATTCGCGTGTAATTTGCCAGAAGAATTACTCGAGGAAGCCACTCCTGAAAAGTCTTCCTAGGTCGCCCTTAGCAGCCCTGCAGGAGCTTCACGTCCTCGCAGTGCACCACTTGCAGGGTACAGGCTCAGGGAAAAAAAAATATACATCAGCAGGGGGAAAAAAAAATCCCCCGGCCCATTTTACTGCCTTTCCTAAGTTTTCTCTGTTAATTGTGGTCAAAAGTTTTGCGCGAAAAGCCTCGGCGAGTGCTAGGTGCTCTTACATGTTGCAAAGTCATGTGTTTCCTTTTAAGTTGCGATTGCTGAATGCCAACCACTCGATATAATAAACAGCAAATTTGTGGTATCCTGTTGCAGTTTCGAGCTGGACTTAGGAGCAGAGGGGAGCGTGCTTTGCAGAGAGCCCTCTGCACAAATATCAGGCGCTGGGACCTTGCAGCCTTGCGGGAGCCACGGCAGCTCCCCCACCGTGGGGTTTTCTCCTCCTTTGTTGATTAAAAAAAAAATAAAAAAATCCCCTCTCCGCTCTTTATAGATGGAGCGGGTTATGGAAGCGAGGAGTATTTTTAACCGGAGCGTGTTCTCTTCCTATTTCTTTGTTCAGCAGGCAAAATAATAAGAATAATGAGAGATCTGAGAGACCCAAATTAGGCTTTGCTGTTTAGGAATGGAAGAGGGTAGGTGCCTGCTGACTTCCAGGGAATACGCCCCGCTCCCCTCCGCCTCTTATCCGAGGGACGATTTTTTCCTGGAACTTTTAAAGCGTTTGAAAAATCTTTTCGCTGGGGGCGGGGGGAAAACCTTCATGTTGTGTTAATGGGGGGGAGTTTTCTGCTTCTGAATGAGCTTTTGGTAGACGTGCTACCAAGCTCCAGGAGCTTACTTAAACGCTGTAATTATTTTATTTTTTTTTCTTTTTTTCGTCTTGTCTTTATCTTCCCTCTCCCCTTCTCTGCCCTTAGGAGAATGTTTCCTCCATTTAAAGTGAGATGCACTGGACTGGATAAAAAGGCCAAGTACATTTTATTGATGGATATTGTGGCGGCTGATGATTGTAGGTACAAATTCCATAATTCCCGGTGGATGGTAGCCGGCAAAGCTGACCCTGAAATGCCAAAGAGAATGTACATCCACCCGGACAGCCCGGCCACCGGAGAACAATGGATGTCCAAAGTCGTCACCTTTCACAAGCTGAAGCTCACTAACAATATCTCTGACAAGCACGGATTTGTGAGTGCCTTTTCCCCCTTCCTTAGCCCCCTCTCCCCTCCGCTGCCCGTGTCGCGGGGGCTCCCCGGGCCCTGTCCCCAGCCCTGTCCCCGCAGCGCAGCCGCCCGGCCCGGAGCTTTCCCAGGCGTTTGAACTCGGGCGGAATAAATGGGTGGAAAATGAGGAATAAATAGCCCTCTCCACGCTCGCGGCTGACGTGCGTGTGTCCGGTTTCTAATATTCCTTGATTTTTTTCTCTTGCCGAGGTCAGGATTAAACAATCGAGTTTATTCTGTAACCTTTCCAAAGCCCAATCCGTGCCATTCAGTATTAACTTGAGAGGTATATTTCCAGCGTAGTGCAACTCGATATTTCTCGGAGCTGTGTTGACTTTATAAATATATATATATATAATATTTTTTTAATAAAGACGGTCACACTTTTTAGGCATAGGAAAACGATATGCATGTGTGTAGAAAGGGCTTAAAGGCCCAAGTACGCAAACATTTAAATATATATTAATCTGGATAATGTAAAGCAAGCCGGAGTGAAAATAAACAGGAACCAAAATCAGAGGTCAAGTTGCCCATTCATGTCTATCCACTCCTTTACATTTACTGGGTGTGCAGAGATAAAACGCTGCCCCTAAGAGTGAAATCAAACAAACGTGCTGATAAGTGCTCTGGCGATCCTTGCCGTTTCTTTCTGTTCCTGGGAAAGCCTCTGTCTCGGAGCCGGGGGTGCTGGTGGTGGCCGCGGTCGGGGGATCTCTAATGTGCTGAAGATTGCATTTGCTGCCTGTGATTTGATTAGACGATACATTTTTGCCTCTCGCAGAAGGCCTTAAGTGGATTGGGGCGAGCAATTAGACCTAGCCAAGGCTCTCGTGTTGTTGTTGCTTTTGTAGCTGATGCTGCTTTTTTTTTTTTCTTTCCTTATTACGATTATTTTATTTTATTTCATTTCACTTCACGTTGAAATCACGAGACATTTTGTCCGGAGCCCGGACGAGCTTCCCCCCTCCCCCGGCTCTCCGCTCGTAGGGAAATCACTGCAGGGCTTTCCCCAGTCCCCGTAGCGCTGCCGGGCGGCCGGTCTCCCCCCGCCGAGCTGGAGCTGTCAGTGCTTTTTGCTGGATGCTGGAGGCGGCTGCGTGGTGCCCGGAGAGATGCTCTCGGCAGGGAGGAGGCAGCGGAGGGGAGGCGAGCAGGGGGAGAGGAGCGGAGGCTGGAGGGGAGGGGGGGGAGAAAATCGAGGCGGGGGTGCTGCCCGCTCTGACTGTGTCGTTCCCCCCCCTCCTCGCCCTCTGCTGCCCCGCTCCAGACCATCCTAAACTCCATGCACAAGTACCAGCCCCGGTTCCACATCGTCAGAGCGAACGATATCCTCAAGCTGCCCTACAGCACGTTCAGGACCTACGTTTTCCCGGAGACCGAATTCATCGCAGTGACCGCATACCAGAATGATAAGGTAAGGAGATTAAGAAAGGATTTGTTTTACGTGTTTTGGCTTTTAAGAGAGCTTTTACTCTGCAGTGTTCCCTTCAAAATCACGAAGCCCATCCCGCTCCTCTCCCCCCCTGACTCGGTTCCCCCCAAGCCCCCGGGTGGGGGGGCCGGGGGCTCTGCTAACGCTGTGCTCCAGCCGCCCCCAGGCAGGGCATGGAGCTGGGGGGGGTCGAGGGTCGGGGGGGGGGAGCAGGGGGGGCTTCTTTCGGGAAGAAAAGGGGGCAGGATGGGGTGGAGATCGCTGCTTTCAGTGTGGATTTAATCTAAGACGCATCAGAAAAAGAATCGGATCCGTGTGTCGAAAGACAGAGGGGGGAGAGCAGCGTGGCTGGAGATTTTGTAATTCTTCCTGGCCTTTGTGCTGTTTTAGCTCCTTTAACAGCAATTGGCAATAAGGCTGGAGCGCACGTCTGGTTCCTATTATTATTATATTATGATTTTTTTTTGTATCCTGCAGTGTTTTATTATTTTTTGTGGTGCAGAAATATGCTCTGATCAGAGAGGGGTATCTCGCTTGAATTTAGCTGCAAGGTCTAAAAGAGCCAGTGTGAGAAAGTTTGCAGCGCTGCAGACGCTGCGTTCCCATTTCTGCGGGTTTATTGTCGCTCGCAACGAAGGTGGTATATTTGGGAGACTGGCAAATGGCGAATTTACGATAATTAAGTCAAGTGGAAGGAAGCGAAAGAGCCAAGAAGGGCCTTTTATTTTTCTGCCTATAAATTTGAACTTTGAGTGCGTGTGCGCCAAGGGCAGGGGCTCTGGATGCGCAGCGCCCGGCCGCGGCAGCCTCCTCCGCGGCTCAAAATCAGGGGTCGAGAGGGGGGGGCCGAGCCCTTGGCTCCCAAAATCTTGGGACTACAAGGCTCGGGCTGCTTTGCCCTGCGGCCGCGGCCGGCCGTTGGCGAGGAAACGGAAAGCAAAACGCGCGCCCAGGGAGTTAGACTTTGCTTTGGGATTACCGGCGGGGCTACGCGCCCCGCTCTGGCCTCGCGGCCGGCCAGAAGGCAGCGTGTTTGTCCCATTGCCATGAAATCGGGCCGAAAGCCGGGACCGCCCTGCCGCTTTCCAGCCGTGCTTTCTCCCCGCTGCCTCCTGCCCACGCCGAGGGGGGGGGATCGGGGAGGTCCCGAGGGAGCTGCGCCGCCCGGGGACCCAGCGCAGGGCTCAGCCAGCCCGCGGGGGTCCCGCTGCCCCTCTCCAGTCGGGGGTCATGGTGCTTCGGGCATCCCCGGCCCCACCGCATCCTTTCAGTGGGGAGAGCCCCCCTCCGCCTCCCTGTGATCCCCCGCCCTTCCCTCCTCCGGCCGCGGGGGCAGGGAGAAGCGGCCGTTCCCAGCCCCAGTCCGAATCCCGAGGAAAACCCCGAGCCCACTCCAAAAAACGCAGCCACTCTCCCCTCCCTCCCACCCCCCAAATCAAGTCGCTCCTGGCACCCCCAGCGCCCCAACGCACACACAGACGCGGGGCATAATGCGATTATATAAAGTATTTTATTATAGCAAGGGGGTGGGCATGATTCCTTTGCGGTTTAATTATGGCATTTAAAGAGTTTAAGCGCGGGCATAACTCGCATGGATCGCATTGCACGGCTAAATTCATTCCGATGCGGTGGCAGCAACACGGGGCTCTTTCATTGCCACCACCGCCGGGGTCACCGGCCAGCCCCCGAGCCGGCTGGGGAAAACGCCGGAATCCACCCCAAAACCAGCCCCCGCTGCCCCCTGCCCCATGCCCGGGGGTGCTGCTCCTGTTTGCGCTGCGGGATCCGGGGAGAAGGGGTTGGGTCGCTCGTTGTTCTACGAAATCTCCTTATTTCTGCCCCAACAACCCTCCGTTTTTTTTTTCTTTATTTTTTTTCTCCCTCCCTGTAGATCACTCAATTAAAAATTGACAACAACCCCTTTGCCAAAGGTTTTCGGGACACCGGGAATGGAAGGAGGGAAAAAAGGTGAGTCTGGAGGGATTATATATGGGCACCTCGTTTGCTTTTCGTGTGCAAAGCTCCGAACATGACCAGAGGTCAAAATCACCTCGCGTTTCCTCCAAACCACACTTCCCCCCGCCAAAATTAATAAGGATCTCGTCGTTAATAACACGAAACTGATTGCATGTGAATTCTTGCGTGCTTCCCACGTTTACTTTTTACGTCGCACGGGATGGCTGGCGAAAGCCATGTCGGCAGATTAGGGGAAAGACGGCGAATATCCCCCAAAAAGAAGTTCCTCTTTTAGGCAGATATTTTACACCATCACAATTTCTATCCGGGACAGAGGAAACGGGGCAAAGTGAGGGCAGAGCTGATCGCTGCTTGAGTCTCCCCATGCATTTTCCCGGGGACTGCTGAAAAGTGTGGACGAGAAGCACATAAATAAACTGTTGTGACAGGGGTGTCCCGCGAATATGGAAGTAATTAATGATAGAAAATTTTTTATTTTTCAAAAAGCCACGGGACGTTTTCTGTCAATGTAGATGGATGGACAGCACTAGTTTTAATGCGGCTCGAAAATTTTATTTTTTTAATATTGGATAAAATAGAGAAAGGGATATCTCTTTCTTTGATGGGGACTAAGTCTTCGTTTTGTTTAGTTAGAGGAGACACGATATTTTAGCCATTTGCACTTGGTTTTAGATAATGAATAAATGGGTCAGTTCCTTTTTATTTATTTATTTTTTTGAAAGGAAAAAAAAAAAAGAAAAGGGAAATGTGATGTAGAACAAGAGGCCTTTCTCTGTGCCCAGGACTGAACCCAGCACACACACACACACACACACACACGCCAGCTCCTCTTGTCCGTCAGCGTGAAAATAAAGCCAAGGCTGGAGCCACAGGACGGAAACGATTTCTAATTTCTCTCTAAATATAAATAGATTTTACTCCGGGTTAATTGTTGGTGAAAAGATTACATAAAGTGCCTAGCAAAATAACCGCTTCCTCGCCATCTTAGCGACCATTAGGACCGCTCAGAGCTCTGCAACATCCTCGCATTTAAAAGCTGATCCCCAGGGAACGGTGCCCTGGCTCCCCGAGCCCCCCCATCTCCCCCCTTTTTCTTGAACATCTGCCCTCGGCCCGGCCCGCTGCTAACAGCTCCCGGGCGGCCTCCTCCTGGAGGCACCGAGCCGGGCGCCGGCCTCCGCGGTGGAGGCCCCGGGGATGGTTTGGAGACCCCCGGGGATGGATTTTGGAGGCGCCGGGAGGGGTGTGTGGGGGGGGCGGCCGGGCGTAGCCCCCACCGCTCGCCCAGCGGCTCCGTGTGGCCGGCAGGAAGCAGCTGACCCTGCAGTCCATGCGGGTCTACGACGAGCGGCAGAAGAAGGAAAACGCCACCTCGGACGAGTCGTCCAACGAGCAGACGGCCTTCAAGTGCTTCGCGCAGTCCTCCTGCCCCGCCGTGCCCGCCGTCGGTACCTCCAGCCTCAAAGGTGAGAGCGGCCTCCGAGAGCAGCCAGCCAGCCTGCCTCCCTGCCTCCTGGCCTGCCTGCTCGCTCCTGGCTGCTCGCAGGGCTCTCTTCTCCCACTCTTTTATCTCTTTTCCCACTTCTTTATCTCTTCTCCTACTCCTTTTTCTCTTTTCTGTATCCTTTTTCTCTTCTCCCACTCCCTTCTCCAACTTCTCCCTCTTTTCTCCCACTCTCTTCTCCCACTCCTCTCTCTTCTCCCATTCCCTTTTTTCTTCTCCACTCCTCTCCCTCTTCTCCTTTTTTCTTTTTTTTTTTCTTTTTTTTTTCTTCCTTTCCTTCTCTCTTTCCCTCATCCCCTCTTTCCTTATCTCCCCTCACACTTCCTTTCCTTCCCTCTCTCTCTCCCTCTCTCCCTGTCCCCCCTGCCCCTTCCCTCTCCCCCCGGCCCCTCTCCTCCTCTCGTTCCCCCCCCCTCCGCGGCTCAGAAAGGAGCCAGCTCCGAGTCAAGGGAGCAAAGACAGACCACGGGGCAAAAGTTCAGAACTGGAGTCACTCCATTAATATTCCTCTCCGATTCTGTTATTAGAGGAAGGATCTTTCCCCTGGATACGATCCCGAACTTTGTTATAGAAAAGTCCCCCCTCGCTTTCTCTCCGTACGGGGTTGGAAGCTGTCTGCAGCTCTTTCACATGTATTAATCCATCCAGGGACGGGGGGGGGGTGGAGTGGGGGGGGTGGGGGGGGAAGCGCAGAGGGAGGAGGAAACAACCTCTTTTGTTGTTGCTTTACTCGTTTGTTTAAAGTCCTGCCGAGCCGAGGGGAGGGGAGCTGGGAGGGGACCCGAAAAGCAAACCAGAGCTTCGCACCTGGGGCGCTGAAATTAGGAGATGAAGTGCAGAGGAATCCAGCGAAGCCGTGCACGCTTCGGGGAGGAGGAGGAGGAGAAAGGGGGGGTCCGCAGCGAGATGGAGGCCTGGGGGTGGGGGGGGGATTTCAAACTTCGAAGCCCGTCGAAAGGGCTGAAAAGTCTGGAAAAGGGCACAAAATCCCGACGGAGACCAGGCCCCCGGGGGGGGGGGGGAGCGGAGCCGCTGGGGGGGGCTCAGTTTTTGTGGCAGCCGTTTTGGTGCGCTGGGAAACCTCAGCTCGCCTGGACGGTGGGAGCCGGGGAGGGGGCCGGTGGTTATTCACTAAAAAACAGCTATTTTGGGGCTGAATTTCGGGCTGGCCAGGAGGTGTCTGTGCCCCCCTCTCCCGGCCCCGGGGCTGGGGGGGGGCAGGTTAGGGACGTGCTGCTCCGGATCCCAGCCCCTTTGTGTTGCAGATCTGTGCCCCAGCGAGGGAGACAGCGATGCGGACAGCAAAGACGACCCCTTGCTGGAAGCGAGCGAGTCGGGCAAAATCAGCACGACCACGGCCCCCACCCCAGCGCCCGCCAGCTCCGCCGCGGCCGCGGGGGGAGACGACCCCCGGGAGAAGGGGGGCAGCCCCCCTAAAAGCCACTTCTTCCCCAGCGACTCTGCGGCGAGCCGGAGCCGAGAGAGGACGGAGAAAGCCCCCCCTGACTCTCGCCACAGCCCGGCCACCATCTCGTCCAGCACCCGGGGGGGGCTGAGCGGCGAGGAGCTGAAAAGCCCCCTTCGGGACGGCCCTAAAGGAGACGAGCCCCGGCTGCTGGGCAAAGAGCCCTTCGCCCCCCTGACGGTGCAAACCGACAGCACGGCTCACCTGAGCCAGGGACATTTGCAAAACCTCGGCTTCCCCCCCGGCCTGGCCGGCCAGCAGTTCTTCAACCCGCTGGGGAACGGGCACCCGCTGCTGCTGCACCCGGGGCAGTTCGCCATGGGGGGGGCTTTCTCCGGCATGGCCGCGGGCATGGGCCCCCTGCTCGCTACCGTCTCGGGGGCTTCTGCCGGCGTTTCGGGGCTGGACAACACGGTGATGGCCACGGCAGCGGCTCAAGGACTTTCGGGAGCATCTGCTCTGCCCTTCCACCTGCAGCAGCACGTCCTGGCCTCGCAGGTACGCCCCGACGGGGCTGCTCCTGAGCAGGGGGCAAAGAGGAGCAGGGGGCAAAGAGGAGCAGGGCTTTTTTTTTTTTTTTTTTTTTTTGGGGGGGGGGAGGTTGGGAAGGGGGCTGGGAAAGTTTTGTGGTGTGGCTCAGGTACTTAAGTCCCCCCTGTCAGGTCTTGGTGGCTTCCCCGGGGCAGTCCCGGTGTGGAGCAGAGCCGTCGGGGGGACATAGGGGGAGGATGCCCAGCCCCCGGGCTGCCCTGTGGGGCTGGGGGGGAACAAGAAGGAGCGGGGGGGGGGGGGCTTTACCTGCAGCTTAGCCTGGGGGACAGATGGTGTCAGTGCTCCTTTGTGTGTATGTGTCCGAGGTTGGGGGGGGCGCACGCTGCTAACACTTTTCTCCCCTCTCACTTCTCTCCTCTCTCTCCCCCTTCCTCCCACCCCCCACCCCCCCACCCCGCAGGGCCTGGCCATGTCTCCTTTCGGCAGCCTCTTCCCCTACCCCTACACCTACATGGCCGCGGCGGCGGCAGCCTCCAGCGCAGCCTCCAGCTCGGTGCACCGGCACCCCTTCCTCAACGCCGTGCGGCCCCGGCTGCGCTACAGCCCCTACCCGCTGCCCGTGCCCCTGCCCGACGGCAGCAGCCTCCTCACCACCGCCCTGCCCGGCCTCGCCTCCGCCTCCGGGGAGGCCAAAGCGGCCGGCTTGGCCTCCAGCCCCGGCGCCGGGCCTCTGGACTCCGCCTCGGACCTCACCAGCCGCTCGTCCACCCTCTCGTCTGGCTCCGTCTCCCTCTCCCCCAAGCTGGGGGCCGACAAGGAGGCTGCCACCAGCGAACTGCAAAACATCCAGCGCCTGGTCAGCGGCCTCGACCCCAAGCAGGACAGATCCCGCAGCGGCTCCCCGTAGCCGCCAGCTCATTTCAAATCACTCTCGCAGTGCACTTTGTTCCACAGAAACCACAGCCTCCGTCCCGCGAAATCTTTTTAACCCCCCCCCCTTTTTTTTTTTAATTATTATTATTTTTTTTTATTATTAATATAAAATCCCCCGGCGTTGCGTGCGCGTTTATCGGCAAAAAAAAAAAAAAAAAAAAAAAAAAAGGTATCCGGGGGGGCGAGGTGGGAGGGCTGGGATGAGGCAGCGCTGGGCTGGAGGCTGCCAGCATCGAGGCTGGCCGGGCCAGGTCTCCGGCAAGGCTGGGGGGGGGCCTCCCGCCAGCCTTTTCTTCACTGTGTAAAAAAAAAGAAAGAAAAAAAAAAAGTACCGACACCTAAAAACGAAATAAAGAGAAAAAAAAAAAAACACCAAACAAACTTATGAATAAAAATTAAATAAGAGAAGTGATTTTTTTTTTTTCCGAAAAAAAACTGTATAAGTAACTCGCATATCGGTTCAACAGTTGTTTCCTGGACGGGTTGTGAACGATAACCCTCTTCGTCTATATTAAGGGAAGCTGTGTGTTTAAAATATTATTGTGATGTCTGAGAGCCAGTTGGTGGCTTTTTTTGCATGTTCCATAGTAGTCTGCTTTTCTGGGGGGGGTATTTTTTTATTTCGGTGGGGTTTTGTTGTTTATTTCTAATGCTCGTTTCAAATCCCAGGGAAAAATAATAATAATAATAATAAAAACAAAAATAAGACCCTCTTCCCTCTACCTTAAACGTCCTCCCTGTAGCAACAACAATAAGAAGTGTAGTTGGAAAGAAAAAAAAGTGAATTTATTTTATCTAAAAACCTCTGTAGCTTGACTGTAGGTTTATCACAGCTTTCCCTCTTTAATTGTATATGCAATAACAAGGTTTAAACATACTGAGAAGAAGAAAAAAGCGGACACTATTATTAAAACAAAGTATTTATGTAATTATTTGATAACTCTTGTAAATACGTGGAATATGAATACTCGAAATTAAACTTTAATTTATTGACATTGTACATATCTCTGTAAATATGACTGCAGCTGTCTTTTTTTTTTCTTCTTCTGTTTTTATTTGTAGTCGTTTTCATTTCAAGTTCGTAATTCTTTTAAGCATCTACCCCGACCCACACAGAACAACCGAGAGCAGAAATGCCTCCATTCGGAGTGCTCACTTTTTAAATTGGAGCTCCCCACAGAAAACCTGACCTCGTCCTTTTCTAAAGGAGCCGATTGCAAATGGAGAAGAAGAAACAAACAAAAATAATCAAAGACCTTGAAAAAAATAATTAAAAGAAAATGAAAACCCAACGTGCCACGGTAGCTTTTAATCCTCGATTTCTTCAGTGTTGAAAGTGCTACTTTCCGTTTAAAATTTCAACCACAAAAGGAAAAAAAAAAAAAGTTCTATACTTTTAATACATGACAACAGGCTTCTCCAGTAGCTTGAGAGAAAAAGATGAAGATTCTAGGATTTTTCTTTGCTTTGTATTATTTTTTCCCATTTCTTTGGTGTGTCCAAAAAAAGAAAAAAAAAAAAAAGAAAAAAAAGAGAAAAAAAAGGAAAGAAAATAGTACCACGATGGAGTTTTACTACTGTGCTTATTGTTGTCTTTGTTTGAGTGAGTGCATATTTTCTTGGCTTGAAAGTCAGGTGCTCAGAGCTGGTTCAAAGAAAAAAAATGAAGGTATATTTTGTGTTATATAAATGTTGAGATTTTTTTTTTCTCCTGTATTTTTTCCCCCCTTTTAAAAGTCACTGAAGTTTCAATAAATTTTTATTGAAATGTCTTGGGCGTACTGTGAAATGCCTTCACCCCAACCTTCCCGAAAGTGCCTGCGAGGCAGGAGGGGGGGCCGCCAGGTCCGTCTCCCCCCGCCTGCCTGGCTCCTCCACCCCATCCCCTCCCCAATATTCAGCTTTTTTCTCGGGGAAGGAGCTGGTAGGAACCAGTCGGCTCGGGCTCGGGTGCTTTGGGTTGCGGCTGGGAAGTGCAGGTTTTAAGCAAGCTGTTTAATGCACCTTTTGCGTCTTCCTCCCTCTCTCTTTTCAAGCAGATCCAGAGGCTACTAAGTCACCTCTTTTAATGGAACGATATTAAGTGGCATTTGAAAAGTTAATGAGAATGGCTCAGCTATGCTTTTATCTGTCATAAATTAATAAAGCAAAAGTGAAGAATCGGAGAATAGATCGGTTAAAATTTAATGCGCAGCCCTCCTCAAAAGTTTCCAGGTAGAGTGCTCGAGAGGTGATGGTGTTACTGGGCTCGTCCCTCCCGCCCGGGCAGAGCACCTCTTCCCACTGACCCCATGGACACGCGTGGGTTTTTTTTTCCACCCCTTCTTGCTCTTGGGCTGATGCTGGGTGGGAACGGACCCGATCGCATCCTTTAGCGGGACGTGGATATTCCTCCTGCTCGCAGACATCTTCCCCCCTTCAACAGTTAGCGGCCCATATATTGCAAAGCGATTCATCCTCCGCCAGTAATAAATATTATAAGGATGTGCTTCCAGCCCGTATCCTGTTTGATGCTCTGCCTGCCCCTCGGCCCGTGGCCTCCGGCTCCTGCTCCAGCGAGATAAAGGGGGCCGGTGGGTGAAAGTGCCGGCGCAGCGCTGCTTTCCCCTTTTTAGGGCGCTGCTTTCCCCTTTTTAGAGCATTACTTTCCCCTTTTTAGAGCAGCCCCCGCCGGGGCTGGCCGTGCCAGGGGGCTCCCGACTGCGTCCCCCCGGCCGGCCTCTACTTTCGGGCCTCTCTCGTTTTCGGGGGGAATCTCCCGAAAGTGAGGACATCGCCTTTCACCTCCACCGGGCTTGCTGCGAGAGGCTCCGAGGGGCTGCGACAATCTCTGGGGAGGGTCCTGGGGGGGGACACCCGAGCGCTGCCTCCTGCCCGAGCCCCGGCGCCCCGCAGGGTTGGGCAGAGATTTTTGGGGGGATGCTGCCCATCGCCTCCATCCCCGGAGTGACCCCCCCTGCACACCGACCCCTTTTCCCTGCTGGTTTCAGCCCTTTCACGGGTCGGGGGGGCCCTTCCCATTTCAGCCTGAGGGGGTGGGGGGTATTTAAACGCCGGGGCATGCAGCCCGCCAGGTTGCCGGGGGGGAAGGTTTGGGCTGAGCAGGATTTGTATTCCCCACCCCTCCCGACCGCCTCCCCCCCCCCCCGCCTTGGATGGCCCAAGGTGAGGGCTGCTGGAAATGTCACGTTAAGCTGATGTTCCTCGGAGGGTGTGGGGGGGTGTTTGTGGAGGGGGGTGCTGGCGTCGGGGCTGGCAAAAGCGAAGCAAAACAAAACAAAACAAAAAATCAAACCTCCAAAATAAGAAAAAAATAAAGGATCAGGCAGCAGCTGCGGGCTTCGGGCCGCATCCCCACGCAGCAGGATCTTGTTTGCCATTCGCAGGGGGGGGTACAGAGCGGCGCTGCCCCCCCGTCGGGGCGGTGAAGCCACCCCACAGCCTCCCGGCTCAACTTTCTCCTCTCCGCCGAGCCCTGGCCTTGGAGCCGGAGCAGGGGCACCTCTCGGTGCCATAGGACCCTCCCCCCCCCAGGTCGGTGCCACTTATTTGGGGATCAGGAACATCTATTTTTTTTTTTTCGCTCCCTAGGTGCTTGCCCCCCGAAAATTCCTGCAAAGGGAGGGCGGTTAAGGTGCTGGGGGGAGAATTTCCTATCAGGAGATGAAATTCACTGCGGATCCAGAGCCCCCCCGCCGGCACAGGGATCAGGTAGCCGCTTTTGCAGGGCACTCTTGGTTTTTAGGTGCTGGGGGCTCAGCCTGCTGGATTCCCCCCCTCCCTTCCACGGGCCTAACGCTGACCTCCCCCTCCCCATGCCCTAGCAAGAAATCCGTGTACCGCAGGTGTAACTCTGCCTTGCAAATGGCTTTATCTCCTGTGTATCTTATTTGTATATAGTAACGTTAATGAGTAACTCTTGTGGCGCTTGTGGATGGAGGTAAACAGCGAGCAATCTCTCTGGATTATCCTGTCTATTACTCACCTGGCGCCTGTCTTGATATCCTCAATGGTTTTATGGCTGATGCAGGCGACCCGGCGCTGGGTGGGGGGGGGGAACCGGGAGGCGGCGGGGGGGGTCCGGCGGGGCGGCGGCGCCACCTCTCGGGCAGTGCGGGCAGAGCGGGGCGGCCCCCGGGGGGGCACAGGGCTTGGGGTGGAGGGGGGGCACCCAGAGAGATGGGGGGGCTCCTAGAAGGGGAAAAACGGGGGGATGGGGGGGAGAAACACAGGTGCCCACCCCATTCCCCGGGGGGGCGGAGCTCGCTGATGGCTTTCCTGGGAGCGGAGCTGGGTTTCACCCCGGGGAGCTTTGGCCGCCGGTGCAAAGTCTCTGGGAAAGCGGGGATGGGGCAGCGGGGAGGGGGGGAGCACGGGGGGGCAGGGGACGGGGACACGACCCAAAGGAATTGGTGCTGCCCGGGGAGGGGCACAGGAGCCACCTCTACGGAGCCCGACGGCGCGGCCGCTCCGCCGCCGTCCTGCCTGGCCCAAGCTCCGCTATTAGTTAATTATTGATTGATTACAAGCGCAAATTTATTTCTCTTCCCTCTGCCCCCCCCCACGGCCCTTCCCTCGCCTCCCGGCCGCGGTGCACGGCGCGCTCCGGCCCCCTCGCTCTTGCCCTCTGCAAACACCGGGAGGGAGGCAGGGAGGCGGGTTGTTGGTTTTGGCCTCGACAGCTTCCAGGAATATGAAATATTGAAGCCCTTCGGTCGATCCCCTGTACCCTGGCCGCCCTTTTTTTTTTTTTTTTTTTTTATTTTTTGGCCTTTCATGTCCTGCCTGGGGGGGTCCCGCGGCGGACGGCGCTCCCCTCCTCTCGCCCCCCGCCGTCGTGCGGGCTCGCAGCACGCCAGGCCTCGCAGATCAAAGCGGCTCCTCCGTCCTCCGCACGAGGGGAAGAGAAAAAGGTTTTTCCTTCTTTTCAACGATTGTTCGTAAAAAAAAAAAAAAAAAAAAAAGTCTTGGAAGCGGGGACCAGAGCCCGCCTCCGCCCTTGCCTCGGGCTGCGGGGTTGCACCGGGAAGCGCATTTGGGAAGGCAGGGAGAGGGCTCGGGAGAAGGGAAGGAGGAAAAAAATTAACAAGAGGGGAAAAAAAAGGGGAAAAAAAAAAAAAAAAGAGTTGCTTAAAATCGAGCAGCCGTGTGCGTGTGAAGCGCACCCGAGCCGGGGTGGGAGCTCACCGACGGCTGCCCCGTGGGGTGCGAGGCTGGGGGGACCCTCCCAGGGGTCCACAGCTGGGTTTTTACTCCGGGGCTCGGGGTGCCCGTGGGAGAGGCTGCAAGAAGCTCTCAGCTTCACTCCCGAGCGGCCCTGGCTGCCGAGGGACGGACGGACGGACAGACAGACGGATGGGCTGTTTGCTGTCCCGGGGAGGGGAAGATGCTCTTATGGGGCGATTGCTTATTGGGGAGCTGCTGCTTTGCACCACGGACCGGGCACCCTGGGCGCACCAGGGCCACGACGGATTCGTGCTGCAGGCGCCGCGACGGCGGGGTTGGGGCGAACCGGAGCGGGGAAATCCGAATTTCCCCTCTCCGACGTCTTGCCAGAAGCCCCCCCGAGCCTCCTTCCATCCCGTACACGGCAAGCAGCCCCGCAGAGGGACATTCCAGCCCCTGGCGCTGGGGGCTGGCATCGCCTTATCTCCCTGACCCGCCGACCTCTCCCTGCAGCCAGACCCTTTTCCATCTCCCGAACTTTTAAAGAGCGCCCCTTTACACCTGAAGCCTTTTGACTCCGGGCACAGAGAAAAGCCAACAGCTCGCAGGGAGGCAGCTCTGGAGGATGATGCATGCTTTGGGGGGTTTTGTTGTTGTTGTATTTTTTTTTTTTCCAGACCCAAACTTCCCACGTGCTTCTCCCAAACCCCGCATTATTCGGGAACAATTAAGGCGTGTAAAAACACGGCGAGGCGAAGCCCTCAGCCTGAAGTGGCCGTTCAAGGCACTTTTGCAACTCGTGGCTCCAGCTCCTCGCCACGCCGCGGGGGTCAGAGCGGGCCCCCCCGGCACCACCGCTCCTCCCCGGCGAGCTCAGCCCACAACCGCTGGGCAAGGCACCACCTTCGGCTTTTCCCATTCCTAGCAATTATTTTTCACGATTTGAGGATTTGGGAGAAAAGGCTAATTTTTTATTTTTCAGCTCTCGGCCGAAAAAGAGATTGCCGCATCTAACCGCGGCCGTAATTCCTGCTGAAGCTCACGGTGTTCTCACTACATTTAGCTTCCATCACTCCCCCAGATAAAGCCCTTTCCAGCGAAAGACCCTATTCAACACATTTAAAAAAAAAAAAAAAGCAACAAACAAACGATCGCGAGCGGGCTGGGCTGTGCCGAGCCCCGCCGGGCTCCAACGCAGCCGGGGAGTGCCCGACCCCAGGGGCACCCGGACCCCCCCTCGGGAGCAGCCCCCCTCTTTTCTCCTTTCCGAAGTTTATTCCTTTGCAAGCCGCCAAAGCACCGCTGGCAAATAAAGTAAAATAAAATTATCGGTGAAATTAGCCCGAGAGAAAAAATAATAAAAATAAACAGCGGTGCGTTTTCCCTTCGACCTGCTCCATCCAGGGAAACCCGGGGGGTCCCCCACCGCTTCGGCTTGAGGGGTCGGGGAAATTACGGAGCTTTTCTTGGGGAAGAGGTGCAGGAGAAGGAGGGAGCTGGAAGCTTTTGTACAAAACGTGGAGCCACGTTTCTGTTCGCTCCCGGGGAAGGGGCTCGGAGCGGCCCCGGCCCGGCAGCCCCCGCATCCCCCCCGCTGCTGCTCGCTCGCCCCCGGAGCTGCGGCATCGCCACCGCTTCTGGCCGGGGCTCGTTCCCTTCTGCCGCGCAGCCTCGCCTAGCCGCTCGGGCATTGCTTTCCGACGGGTTTCTTTAAAAAATGCTAGTTTTAAGCTCTTCCTCGTTGTCAATTCGGGCCCTTTCCCGCGGATTTTGAAAGGCTTTTTTTCAAATTCGCCTGCTCTCTCGAGCCCTACTCTAGCCGGCTTCCATTTCTCCCAAGCTTGAGCTAAAAAACGAAGAGAAAGAGAGGAAAAAATAAAAATGAAAAGAACAACAACAAGCAAACGAACAAGAACCCACCCCAAACCTTACATATAGATGTAAGGCAGGTCAGGAGGCTCCCCCGCTTCGCTTGCTGCAGCGGATGGGGGCAGGGGCTACCCCTAGGAAAAGTGAAAAGCTTGTTTTAATGGGCGGTCATTGCTAAATCTCACCTTAGGGCCAAAACGACTCGCGACCCATTGCCCTCCTTACGATGTATTTATTTGTCTCAGTGGCACCAGCCGTCAGTCATTAGGGGGGGGTTAACCCGAGAGCCGCACGACGGTGCTGGCGGTGGTCTTGTGGCTCTTTGGTTTGTTTTAAATATGATTTCTCAACAGGAACCCGGCCAGAGGCGAAGCACTGACCTGTCCCGGCAGGGATTCCAGGTGAAACACGGGGGACACGCGTGGGAGCACAGCCAGCGACGAGGACCCCCCCCAGAAAAATGCGGCGGTTCACTATTATTATTATTTTTTTTTCTGGATAAAATGGGCTTTGCTTTGCACCCCGAAGGGTTTGCTCCTGGAAAAAGCTGCGTCTCGGGCCAGTAGACACTTTGTTGAGTGAACCTGGTGATTTTTGCCTTTTTTTTTTTAGCAATTACGAAGGGGAAAAATAAATATAAAGAAACCCAACTGCAGGAGCAGGACCGCCGTGAGCAGGACGAGCTGCCCCGGAGCGAAACATGGAGGGAACCGGCGGGGGGCACCCGGGCAGCCCCCCTGGGGGTGGGTTGTGCTGCTCCCAGCCCGGGGCACAGCTCCGGAGCGGCTCCGTGGCTTTATGTGACTTGATTTAGCTGTAACTCTCCCTGGACGGAAGGCGTCCATAAAGTGCTGCCTGTATTTCAAATATTTCCGTAGTTCAAATAAATATCCACGTTTGTATATAAAGATTTTGGGAAGAGATGGGGGCTGTGCACGCCTTTATTTCCCTTTGATGGAGACGTGCACGCTACGAGACACCGGGCACCGCGTGTCCCGGCCCCGGCAGCCCGCACACGAGCCCTGCCGGCGCCAGCTCCCCCGGAGGCTGCTGCGCACCCCGGTTCGGCACCTCCCGGCCGAGCACCGCCGTGCCCCCAGCCCAGGACCGGGGTGGGGGGGGCTCAATCCGCCGGGTTCAGCATCCATGCCTCGCTCAGAGTCGCGTTATCGCATGTCCTGGGGGAATTCATCCCCGCCGGCCACTTGCGAGCATTAGCTCGCCGAGCAGTCCTGGGCTCCCCCTCTGTGGCCCCCACCCCTGGACCCCCCCCCCCCGGCTCTATAGGGCCGGGACCCCCTTGTGGGGAGCGGAGATCCCTGGGGACCCCCCTGGCTCCGCGCAGCCCTCTTAGAGCCGGGTGTCTGGTTCGGTCCGTCTGCCAAATCTTTAATCGGGGGAGGATAAAAACTATTATTTTAGGGTGCTAAAATATAAATTTAGGAGTCCTCGGCATCCCGCGGCTCCAAATTTCTGCTGCCGGGAGGAGGGATGGGCGGCGTGAGAGCCTCATTCCCAGCTCCCTGCTGACTCCGGGCACAGAGCAAGGAGTAGGGGAAGCTCCATCCCTGCCCCACGCCTCGTCCCCAATTCCCCAAATCCCCAAATGCTGGGGCATCGAGGCAGCGGCAGGACCCGAGCACAAAGCGGAGCGGAGCCGGTGGCCGGGGCCGCTGTGCCCGGAGCCGGAGCCGCCGCTCTCCCGCTCCTGGAGCGCCACCTGGTGGGGGCAGCCCCGCAGCACGGCCGCGAAGCTCCCCGGGGCTGCTCCGGGGGGAGGTGAAAAAGTGGAAAAGGTGGTTTTTCGTTTTTGGAGCCCGAGGAAGGAGAGCCTCATCTGGAAAGCCTCCGTGCCCGCCTTCCTTCTTTTCTCTTGTAATCGTGTGTGTTTGTGGGGGCTGAGAATGTGTGCAAGGAGCCCATCAGCGCTGATGTGACGGCTCCTGGTGATCTCAGTGAACTCCAAATGAGCATCCCAGTGCTGGGCATCCCCACGGAAGTGGCACCAGACCTGGCATTTTGGTAGAAAACCTCCCAGAGCTTTGCAGGTGTGAGTGGCTGTGCTGTGAGGGCAGGCAGGGCTCTAGAAAGGAGCCATCTCCCTGCCCTGGTTTGCACAGCACAAGGCCTCCTTTGCTTCGTCTCCTTGCATTTCTGCCGCCCGCCCTCACATATCCCCGTGTCATGCACATACTGAGCTATTTTGCCTCTGTGTTGTCATCTTTTTTCTTGTGCTAGCCTCGCCTTTTGCTCACTTGTACACACATTCAAACACGCACGCACGGAAAACATCTTTTTACATTCTGTTTCATAGTTTGATTCATATTCTTCCTGCCTTACACTTTTTGCTCTCTCTTACACACGCATGCAGCTGTTCTTCATAAGCAGTTTGTCTTATTATAACCTTATTTATGTTTTCTGCCTCCTCCCTCATTACAAAACTATTCTGCACCAGAAACTGCCATTTCGCATGAAACACTTCTCTCCGGGTGAGAGATCAACTTGCTTTGGTGGAACTGGGGGCACTAAAATGTGAGAACAAGGATGTAAAAGCAGGAAGACATGCATCAAACTTCAGGGTAAACAATGGGAATGATATTGATTGCGTTTTAATGTGCGGCGGTCACACAATGGGGAAGAAAGCCTTCCCAGGGAAACAAAAAAAAAGACACTCGTCCTCTTAAGAAACTGGTAGCAGACAAAATCCACTGAAACTTCTGAACCAGAGCAGAGGGATCTTTAGGGAAGAGCCTTCCAGGTCCAGCAGAGCTTCCAAATAAACTGCTGTCCTACTTTCCGACTGTCTCTGATTAGCGATGAGAGATGCCCATTGTCCCTTTCCACGCCGGTGCACGCTCTCATTAGGGACCCTGAATTGTGTATGTGCATGTAGGCGTCAGAGCTGCTTTGCAGCAAGTGATGCACAGGGTTTCTGTGGAAGGTAATTCCCGGGTTCCAGCGGCCTGAAAGATTTATGAAGGAGATTTATGAAGGAGTTAAACCCTTGGAGCCTGGTGTTAATGCTTCCAGGAGCGGCAGGCAGGGGCGATGGGCTGATTGTCGTGCGAGAGAAGCGCTGGTCTTGCCACAAACGCTTAGTGAAGCTGTGTGAACAGGGCTTTGGGGGAATTCACAACTCCAAGGGCAGCCGTTTTGCTGGCTGTGGAAGGATTTGGTGGAGAAGTAGCAAAGGGTTCACGCTGCGCTACTTGGGTGTCGGGTTCTGAGCTGGATGCATGGGGGTTAGGTAATCTGGAAAGCAGTAGTCCTTGCCACTCCTTAATGAGTTATCTCAAGTCCAAATCACTTAATTCCCGATGAGGACGGTGTAATGCACGAGAAAAAAAGTGTCAAAAACATGAAGGCACAGCTGCTCTTTCCACTCGAGTAGCTGAGATCAGTTTGGATAATGGATATTCTGCCCAGATCCTTCCAGGGGAACTTCGGGTCTCCAGCGCCTCACTGAGAGGAGGCACGTTGATTTATCATTTATTTATTGGATCACAACTCTGCTTCATGGGTAATCAATCGCTGCTTTTTCTGCTTCCTTTTCAATCACATCACCCCGGTGAAATCAGGGGGCGAGACCACTCTGAGAGCAGAGCTTCCCCTTCAAATAATATTTCCATAAGGTTTCTAGGTGTCAGTGGGAGATGGAAGGAACAGCAGCCAGGCCTGGGTTTGGCCATTGTCGTTTAGGGTTGGGAGAGCACCCTCATGCCCCTGCCCCGAGCACACAGCAATGGATGGTGATGGTTCCCAAAAGTTTTAATGGCCTGGGGACTTGGGTACACCATGCACATGGGCTCACCCCACTTTCTTGCTCTGAAATGAGCTGGAATGGAAATTACAATTAATTTTGGGGCTAAACCCTGCTTCTCCCCAGGACCTATTGCTGCCTGCTCAGCCCAGTGCCACCTGTGTGCTGCAGACCCCAGGCTTTACACAAGTTCCAGCTGTGACCCAGCACCATCTGAGGGACCCAGCTGGGCCTGATAGAGCTGGGACTGCAGGGTTTATGAGCTTGGCTTGGGCCAAGGAATGGCTTTTTCCTGAAGACAGTGGTGTTGGAGGAGCTACAAGGTGCAAGAGGCTGCTGAGAGGACCTGTGATAGATTCCCTGTGCAGGTAGGAGGCTGTGGGGGGAAAAAAAAGGGACTTGGTGTAGGTGTAGTGCTGGTGGTAGATGCTGTATAGCTTCTTGGCTGTGCCTTGGGAGCTGTGAGGTGTTTTTTTTTTCATGGAGGGAGTCTAGCATGTGTTGAAAATGCATTCCTTAGTCCTTGGAGGGCTTCAGGGATTGTGTCTGCTAGATTCTGTCTTGTGGCTGTGAGTACCCTTCAGATAAAATAGAATGGGGCCTTGGTTTGCAGGTGTGTAGCTGTGGTGGATGTGCACCTACCTAGGTCATTCCCTCCCTGCTGGGGCTCTGCTAGACCTAACACTGTGTCTGTGGGATTTGAGGTAGGTCTGAGTGAGCTCGATGTGGTTTTTGTTCCCAAGGTGCCAATGTGTCCTTGCAGAGAGCTTGTGGGCAATGCCCTGAAAGTAGATGTGAAATGTCTCGAGGTGTATGTTGGGTCCTGTGAAATCAGTCTCTTGTACTCTTTGATTTTTGGAGTTCCTTGGCTGGGGAACAAACGGGGCGGCCTGCGTTTGGGGAGGATGTTGAAACCTAGGGGTGAGTGTGGCAAAGACTGAGAGTTAGGAGTGTAGCTGGAGGGGAAGGAACTTGATAAACAAGTGCCACGCTCCCTCTAGCTGGCCTGGCAGCCTTTTGTCATCCTGCATTCATCTGCCAGCCTGGCTGGTCTGTTCAACACCTGCTTTCTTATGTGAGAAGCCCCAAAACTACTTGTGGTGTTTCCTTATTTTCAGGGACCTCAGTCAGGTAAAGCATCAATATGTAAATCTCTATTCCAGGCAAGGCACACCTAGTCAGTCTGGGACAGCAGTCTGCTGATAACCAGTGCCACTTAGGGCTGCGTGTTCTCTAGGACAATTGTCAGTAACCAGCATGTAGGAATAGGGTAGCTGTTGGGACATGAGCTTGTGTTAATCAATGCTATGATATTATTTGGTCTAAAATGGAGTAGAAACACTCAATTACAATACTCAGTTTGAAAATCTGTTCCTAGGAAGCTGTGCTGGACAGAGTCTTCTTAACATGTATTCTTTCATTTTTAAAGCAGCCTTTTGCCCTATCTAGAGAATTAACTTCAGAGTGTTTAAAACTTGGAGGAGTTTGGAGAGAAAGGTGGGAGGGATCTGTCTGTTTTTTATGGTGTATGTTGTTACGCCCAGCTATTCCCCCATTGTAGCTTCAAACCGTTGATGGATATCCTTGTTCACCTCTGTATGGGTGGGTTTCCCCATGTCCAGCTTGGTCAGCCATCAACCTGTCCCGTGACAGGAGGGCTAACTAAAAAAATGGGTTGGGAACTGAGTCACAGTAAGTCTCTTGTGCTGGAGGAAGTTGTGTGAGAACAGAAACATGATTCAAGGGTTCCAAAGCTGGACTGAAGCTTGTGCTTTTCATTTTGGATTGTCACTGCACTGGTGTGGCTCCTTCTCATTGTACTGTGCTCAATGTCCTGCAAAACTGGGCAGCCAGCTCCCTGTCCTGGCTTTGCAGAACATGGGGGAATTAACCATGAGAGCTCCTGACTTCTCCATAAGGCTCTCCTCTTCTAGCACTGCAGAAAAACAGTGGTGAATGTGAAAATGCTTTTATCTTTAAGGATTAGGCAGTTGAAAAGCAGGAGGGAGTGGAGTGAAGACTGGTCTCCATGACCTTGGCTAAGCTTTTTTGCTCAGCTCTCTGTGCTGAGCATAAGATTACTTAGTGTGGGCAGCTCTCCTCCTGCCAGTGGAAACTGGTGTTGTGAAGGCTGCTGGTTGTGTTAGGAGCTGTGGAGTTT